TGTGTGTGTGTGTCTGTCTGTCTGTCTGTGTCTGTATGTGTGCCGATTCTCCATCTCGAGACCTACAAAAGCTGTAAGGCTGAAACTTTGGAAAGTTAATTTACATGCACATGCGGGCCCTGGGCCTAAAAATAGGCTGGCTTACCCACGTGGTTCCCACATACGGGCCCGTCAAAGTTTTTGACGGGTAAGCTGTTAACTTGGGGACCAGAAAAGATAGAGAGCTGGAATTTCGAGAGGATGTTTCCTGACAGTCCTGATGGCCAGTCTCAGTCCTTTTAGTTAGAAGCATCTGCCTGGAAAAAAAAAAACAGTGCCGTTAGCAGCAAAAACCTGTGGGGAACTGTGCAAAATACGTGTCATGCTGACCGACTATTTTTTTATTTTAACTTATACGTTTTGCAGAGTAATCTATTCTACGTGAGCCGTCGAATGGACTATCCGATGAAATGTGGCTCCCTGCTTTATTGTCTATTCTTTCTCTCACTATTAACCACAAGGCTTGGCTGGCCGTACAAGTACTCGGACGAGAGCCCTCGTTTAAGACGACTCATTACGCTGGTACAATTTTGTTTCTAATTTTTTTTGCTAATATTTTTTAATATTTTTCTTAATATTTTTTTTTTATAATGAACTAAACGAACAAGGGCGTTCTTGCCGCATCCGTGTAACTCCATATAAGCGTTCAAGATGATCATTACTTCCACCTTAGAACCTGTCGCAGCGTAATTTATTGCCTACTTCTGTCACATAATGATTTATTGTTTTTTTTTTCTCAAAAATCGCCTGAGAAGCAATTGCATCATTATGATGCAGCACCCTTGGTCTCCGGTTCAATCTTTGGGACACTTTACCCGCGCTAGAGTTTTGCAATCTTTGTGATTGCTAACTCCCGGGATATAAAAGCACTCCTCCTCATCTCTGGCATCCAGAGTCGCTGTTTTCGCCACTCAGTCTTGTTCTGGTGGCTTCGGCTCCAGACCCTCGCCACCTTTTTTATTATTTCTTCCTTTTCCTTTTACGTTGTGTAACCTTAGTTTCTTTACATAATTATAAATATGTACCTATAATTGGGTGTCTGTGGGTGGATACACACACACACTAGTGTCTAACCTACTATTTTCTCTCTTTCTCACTCTCTCTGTCTTTTCCTTTCACTCATCCTTCTAGCAAATTAATTACATGTCCTTTAAATACACGGCGGGTAGGAGGCTGTACTAACGATTCCCACTCCTACCCGAATGCATAGTCCGGTCTGTATTTACAGCTAAGGGATGAAACACAGTGCATCGAAAAATATCACCTCACTACATCTAAAAGATAAAGGCAGTTTGCACCATAAAATATCACCTTACACATGACGCCTGCTTACAATCCTATTGGTCTATTATTTCTAAAGTCACGATAATTCAATGCCGGGAGCAGAAAAAGCTGTGCTCAGCGTTTAGAAGCATCTCAATAACATGACGAATATCTTATTCGCATGCCAATTATACTGACGATCCTAGTATTTTTTGATAAATTTCGCTCAAGAAATATGCCAAAATTCTTGAAATATGCCAACTTCCAAATAATAAAACTCCCTTCAGTTTAAGCTAATGCACTTCAGGTAATGAGAAATTTTTTAGGACACCGAACGTTCCATTTATCCATTCAGAAGCAGTAGTCCAGTTCGTGAACATGCATTATTCGTGCAAACCCTAGATTATCGTGGAATCAACGATTTACCAGAGCACACCTTTTTAACAGGTATCGATCCCCAATTGAATCAGCATGCTCGGAACATCACCGATAAATTTTATAATAAATTTAAATTTATAACAAATTTAAATTTACAATAAATTTAAATTTCAGGAAATAATGAACCTTTATAATAAAAAACTTAAATTTCAGGAAATAATGAACCAAACTGTAGTGATACGAAAGATGAATATTGCCGTCTTCCATATTATACAGCTATTCATCAAATGTTCCCACCACGGTGACTGTTGGCTTAGTTTTTTTTTTTTTTTGTTTAGTTTTAGAATCGTTTTTGGTGTGATTTTAGTATTATAAATATATTTTTATTTGATGACTGTTTCGAAGAGATCACATTTATTACATTAACAAAGAGTAGAAGAGTAAGCCGAGCTGATCATAACATGATTGTAGCATAAAAGTAATATGAAGAACTTAAATAGGGCAAGAATTTGAACGAACTATGTAACGAAGGGTGTAGAAATATTGTTGGTATAGGAAAAATAAGTACGAGAGAGTTAAGACGTTTTGGTCCATTAAACAGTAATAGCTAAAATTTCATTGGGATATGAGG